GCTACAGCGGTGAAGGGAAAAACATATCGTATTATCGATGTTAATGCATTCACCCGCAGGTATTTGAAAATGCAGGTGAACCAGAATTATTCCATGCTTGGAAGTTTCAGCTTGGATTATATATTATATATTTTTTTTTTAACTAAGTATTATCTGTAGTATTTGGATTTTTATTTTTCTAAAGAGTTGTTTATTTACTTCTTTCGGCCTTAGGTCCTATGTAATTGCTTGTCAATGCATGTCTATACTTTGACTTCTGACTGCAGATAGCTGTCCAGCCGTCTGCTTGATCGGTAGCATTGGGATACTGTAATAAGTAATTGGCATTCTGATCAGATTTTTCTCCTACCCCCTTCTACAGTTGTTTACTTGGCAAAAACTAACGGCCCTGTTTTTCAGCTTATCTTTCATGGCAAATAACAAAAAGCAAAAAGGTCTTGTTTCACCTTGCGGCCCACTCCGTAAGCAGAAGCAAATGCATGGCATTGAGAAAAGCCTTTAAAGGAAAATACTTACGTCTTATTTACCAATCTTGGTATGTTTTAAAAATAAAAACTCAAGCATTCAGTAATTGAAACGTAATACGTTTCGCAGCGAAATTTAAATTTCATGGAACTAATGTGTTTTAAGAATTATTTGAATTCCGTAACAAAATAAGGAAGACGTTAAAACTAAGTTACCAACTTGATGCGACATTCTATTCGCATTCTAATTTCGATTAGTATTCTTCATTTATTTATATTTAAATAGCGATATAATTTTTATAGCTTTATCGGGGGATTTATTTTTAGAATAAGGATAGCCGTTTTTACAGTTCTAATGATTTCTACGCAAATCTAAAACAAAAAAAGGGGGTTGGGAAAAAGCCTGCAGGAATAGTCAGGAAATGAGTACATCTGAGAAAATATGATAGTGCTAATGCACGCTATTAATAATATTTTAGAAGGTTATAAACTGGACGAAGTAAAAGTTTTTATGAATATGAGCTAATAATGATAGCAGGAAAAAAAGTTGCATTTGAATACCGCAAACAATACAAATGTTTACATTCTTTATCTGACACCAAAAGACATTTGAAAAATCCCCTGTTTCTCACACATTTTTACGCTTCATTTTAAAGCTGCAATTCATTCTGTTATTTCGTTTAGTAAAAAATCAGAGTTAATTTTTGCAATGAAGTTTTTACATTATTAGCCAAAAGGGGGCATAGCCCAGAAGGGCTATTAGTCTCGAAACAGCATTTTGCGTCGAATCACTATAAATGGCTGTATCACTTTTCAAATTGTTGCCACCAAATATTATCGTCCTGTATTATATTAAAAAAAAAACTAAATAATGAAGAATGTATGAATGTATGCATATTTCTCGCACTGTGAAAAAACAATGATACCCAGAGCCATCAAATTCTGAATAACGTAGTCCTGCACACGAATATGGGCGTCTGGAAGCCCGAAACATGATTTCGAATTTGTTTAATCATTTGTTTTGCATTTTTTAAATTTGAACGATTGAGATTACGATTTTGATTAAGAAACTCAACAATTTCATAGCGAGAAGTGGCAACACATTGCAGGGAATAAATTATTTTTATCTTCAGCGCGCCAGACTGTCTATCGGAAATTCTAAAGATATGCTGTTTTGAAATATTGTTAGCCCAAAGGGCCGTTGGCCCAAACGTGTATGTATGTGTAAATGAAAGAAAAAAAGCTCATTCTGGAAGCTTTCAGATTTTTTTAATATGAATTTATTTATTTATTTATTTTGTCTTTATGAAGAATTGGAAATGTTTTAAAACATTATATTTCTTCGTTCCGTGTAAATAATGGTCTTCAGAATTAGAACAACTTTGCCCCCCCAAAAAAAACTGCTTCCCTACGTTCTGAATCTAAGTTATACTAATATGCCTCCATGAGTAAATATCATCTTTATAACAACGAGACTTCACATTTTCGGAACGATTTGGTTTGCTTGATAAGGAAATGATCGTCATGTTTGTAACCCCATTTCTGTGCGGGCGTTGTCAATGATTTAAGCGAAAAGAAATTTCTGCAAATAGCAATAATTTCACATAGTTTGTCAATCTTTTAGAAAATTCTCTATTCTCTGAACAATGGGGAATGATTTGTGCTTTACAAATTAATTTTTTTAAGGAAAACAAAAGGGAAAAAAGAACAAAAACAAAAAGTTGGACATCTTTTGTTGCAAAGTTCATTCCAATGCAGAATGTCACTTTTGTCAAGGAGAAAATTCGCAAAATGCTCTCATTTTTGCCTATTGTTAAAAATGTTTAAAAGAGATTTTTGTTTGATTATTGAAAGGGCTCCCTTTTTCGTTTGTTTACTTGTTTGGCTGGAAAATGATGTTAAGTTTGTAAAACTACAACAGTTTCAGTATTAACTTCCACTCATTGACTAGCGTATGAGGCCTAGCCTTAAATTCTGACCTTGTTTCTGATTCTATAGCTAACATTGTTAGGTGAAATTTTACAACCATAGTAAAGATGAACAAATAATTACGATAATTGTTTAGAATTGATTGAATTGCTATCTAATAGTAGCTCATAGTTATACAACTAAAATTTATTAGTAATTGGGTATGCTCAAAATTTCTGTCTGCTTTTTAGCCGAAAACAAGAAAGCGAAGAATACGGAAACTTAATAGCCCACAATTTCATGTAATTGTCATCATTTTGAATTACCGTTTAGCAGTAGGAGGTATTTTCTACACTGATAAAACTCATCTGTCGTCAAAAAGTCTTGCAACAACTTTTTCACATTATGCACATAAAGTCATTGAAAGTTTCAGAGCGAACATTTTCTGTAATGTTTTATTTTATTTTATTTTATTTTTATTTATTTATTTATTTATTTTTAAGTAGATGCAAAGTTGGGAGAATGAGCCGGATGAAATAACACCTCCCGACTGAAGTTAAAAAATTTTTTCTTAGTGATTAAAGCTGCAAGAAGTTTTGTCGAGATGGTGATTATACATATATATGTGTGCATCTCCACCTCGAATAATGGTATACCAAATGTTTAGGAATTAATGAGTAATTGATCCCTTTGCTTCCCCCTTTTAAAATTTATTACATATTCATAAATTTCAACTTTGAATAAAGAATTTAAATTGCGCTGATATTAATGCAGCAGTTATTTATTTTCTCAATGGCATGCCTGTTTGAGTAATAATTGGTTTTGTCGTGTTTCGAAAGTTGTGAAAACGTGAACTCATCACGTCGTCATTTATACATAATTCTGGAGCGAGCCGGTGGAAATAACCGAAAATAGGCAGAAGCATACTAAAAAGTCTAATTGGCTAGTAAAATGAAATAAAATTTCACACGCACATACATACATGCATACATATACATACTGGATGCAATAAATTTAACAATTAATTAATTATTGGTTCTGGAGACTGTTTTGAAACGATCGTTTATTCTTTTTTTTATTCCTTAACTTGAAACATTTGTCCTATTCTAGCTTTGTGAGCAATTTCATAAGATTTTTTTTTACTATAGAATATTAAAATGGTTCAATTATCGTACCATTAACAATTGCCAGCTTTTTTTTTTAATTTGTAATTATAATATAGTTTTTATCACAAGCGAAATAAGGATTAAAATATCAGAGAATGCTATTTGAAATGTATATCATTTTAGTGTTGTCAATCGATTCCGATTAAATTGATTGTCTGTATATGCTGCATCATATCGATTCATGCAGTTTTCCCTGACTTTCTTTTTAAAATTTCACGTATCCACTGGCATCAATCCATCTTGAAACTAGATAGCAGATGCATATCTTTTATATTTCTTTTTTGAGTGCATAGAAAATTTATCAAAATAAATCATTCCTTTTATGAAGACCAAGTGTCCTCTTGAAGATAAGAAAGGAGCACTTTAAATTTTTGAGAATAATGTTTATATATGACTGATCGAGATGATGTTCCTGTAATGTTTGCTTTCAAAATAATTCCTCAAATCTAACGAAAGATGAGATGTCACTTGCCGATATCGATTTAAGATACTCTTGCGTGATCCTTAAAAAACTGTAGTAGCTACGTTTGTATTTGTTCTATTTTATTCAATCATCAAATAATTATCAAATATATGTTATTATCAAATAATAATTCAATTCAGAATATAAAAAAAATTAGGAATCGGTTTTTAATTGTATTTATACATTAAATAAATACACGCATCCCACTGAAAAGTTATCAGATATGTGAAAATTAGTATCATCTGTTTTATGAACGGAAAGGAATGTTATTTAAATAACCTGTTCATTCAAAATTCTCGTTTATACATCCACTCAGGGGTTCTCAACCGGTGGTATGCAAGAGAAAAATAGGTGGTACTCAAAGTAGCAAAGTATTTTGAACTATCAAATTCAAAAATTAAAACCCCAACATCCTGATTGAGTTTTATCTCTAACACTCGTAAATTTATGCAAAGTGAGCTTTGTTCAAGAGTGGTGGTGGTAGTTGTACCTTGTATTGGTGGTACTAAAGGTTTTCAATTTTTGTTAGTCAAAAGGTTGGGAACCGCTACACTATAATATTAGTTATTTATCCATTGTACTGTGTTACAATTATATATGAAAAGATATTTGAAATGTATTATTATTTGTAAAAATATATTTAAAGTATTAAAATATTTAAAATATATTTAAAAAGAAAATTTAGAACCATATATTTTTAGTTTAGTAAATCCAAAGATATATATATATGTATTCATTCATTCTCGCAAGTTGCGAAATAATGCGTGTATCAGCCGTGGTTGGATAAAGTTCTGCATCAGATGTTATCTAGCGTTGCTTTTGTTCGATGTTATGGGCTGCTTCTGTAGAATAAGAGTTTTTTTCATCAGCAAAAGAGAAGCCCTTCGCGGTAACGCTTTTTCCGCTTTTTTCCTCTTCTTTATCATTATTACTACTGTTGTGCTTGTGTGTTTCGAGTATTTGTCATGGTATTATTCACATGCTTTGTTCTCTCTTCAGGTTTCCCGTTTCCGTGGTTGAACAGGAAGCACAGTGCGCCGAAAAAATACGCCGTAAATCCCACTCCTCTCGATGCAACTGAGAGCAGTGCTACGTTGATGCGATCTGCTGTGTCCCAACTTTCACTGAACGATTACGCACCTCATCACCAGTGGCCCAAACCTCTCACCACGTTTCGAAAAACTCCTCCAAATCCATCTCATTTTCATCCCACTTACGACGATAGGACTTTGTACAGTAATGGATTTCCCAGTATGGAATCTTTAAACAATAACAATTATTTAAATAACAATAATGTGCTCGCGAATGATTCCAACAGCTTGATGTATCGCAGTGTATCTACCTCGGCTCTACTGGAAGACCCTAAGGAATATTTCCGAAGTGTGGAGGTGGATGTGGCTAATAAGAATAATAACAATGTGAAGACTTTCGCGGCCCCTCCAGCATCCCTAGAGTACTTTCTGATGCCCCTAAAAGCGACTTCGAGCTGCGAGGACTTGATCGATCCATGCTTGGATGGTACACCAGGGGGCGGTAGTTGCGGGCAAAAAGCCGCAGTTTCGCAGCAGCTCGGGACCGTGCTGGAGGAGGAAGTATTCCTAGAACGGGGAGTGGCGGCCGATTTCGACCGGCACCCTTCTAGTGCTAACGGAGACACGGAGAGCTTGGCTAGTTCTATACAACATAGATCGGATGAGTCCGGCTACGAAAGCGATGGGACAAAGAATGGCAATGATGAAAACGCACTCGCGATTCAGGACACATTAGTCGAACCTGTTGTTTTAATTAACGAACATCATTCTTCTGACACAAACGTCCAAAAGTTCGCCGCTCTCTTTCAGAGACTTACAAACGGTAATAATAGTGCGGACTCTAAAAAAGATGACCAAGGTAACCTCAACAGTAGTAACAAATCAACAAACAAATCATACGAAGTGCGAAGTCTCCGGTTGCGCACCCCGACTATGCTATCGAACCTCGTCCAAAGACACGGCAGCAAAGACCATACGCCGTCGTCGGCCACCCCTGGTTCTAAGTCGACAAAAGACTTTTCGTCCACCAAATCATCGGACGATTCGAAAAAAGATACTCGTAATGGTGCTTCCCGATTAGGCCAATTTAAAGCTTGGACATTGGACAGGAAGCTGCTGCGAAGTCGGTGGAAGAAAAATGCCTCTCTTCCTGATGACAAATTGGACATCGCAGTTCCGACGCGCCGTAGCAGCATCTTCCAGTCCTCTCTTTTTCCAAATTCAATTGAAGACTCACCCATATCTTCCCAGCAACTGGAAACGAAGTCCTTGCCAACCTTATCCTCTGTGAGCAGTAGTAGCAGTAGTGATCTTTTATATGACTCATCGGCAGGTGGTGAGGGTTCCCTGTCCAGTTGTGGTGGACTGAACTACCAACTCAGGTTGAAGAAGGCGGGGTACAAAAGTGCTTCCACCTCGAATAATGCGCGAAGAAGGTTATGGTTACAATCCCAACTTTCAACGTCGGACAGCGAAGATATCCTCTCTCCTGAACCTCTTAGTGCAAATAAAAGTTTCGTTACCTCACCCACAGGAACAGAAAAACCGCGTAGACTGCCTTCCCAGTTGGACTTGCATGAACTTGTGTCAGTTGAACTCAGAAAAGATGAACATGGTGAACTCGGTATATATATCACAGGATGTACCGATTCGGAGAAAAATGTGCTTGGTTACATCATAATGGATTTTGAGAAGGGAGGACCGGCGGACAGGTAAGTCTCTTTTTGAAAAACAATACTTTAGTGTTTAAACTTCAGAGATTTATCTTCTTTCTAATTATGTAAATTCTGATTTATTTTCACTTTTTCAAATGTTTCCTTAAATCGTAAATTGCACATCAGATTACGAAATCTATGTGTAATTAATCTGAAACTTTGCTTATATATAAAAGAGGACTTATTAAGTAAAATAAATTAGTTCCAATCTTTGGGAACAGTATGAAATGTTGTTGAAAATGCCAAAATTTAATACATGAGGTTTGAATTAAAAAATTTTCGACTCTTAATTTAATGCTCCATAAATTTTAAAAAATCATATGCAAGATATTTTAGACGTTAAGGTGATGGAGAATGCATACACTTGCAAAAAGAAATCTTCATAAGCTCCAAATAAATGTTGAACCCAAAAAAAGTCTTCCCGTACCATATTTTAACTCTTGCGTGGATGTCTTTACACAGTCACAGTTTCACTTAAATTCTGTTACTTTTTTATAATTATTTATCCCCTCTAATATTGTTAACATAATCCAGTTTTGGTGTATAAATGGTATTGCAGAGAAATATCAATATTCAGAATCCTATGATCCAGTTATGATCAACAGCTGAAAGGATAAATTATTTGGACATTTAGCATTTCATTCATTTTATAGGTAAATTCAGGTGCTTCTCCATTCAACAACGAAATCAAAAAAATTTGCAAATTTTCTGCTTATTGAGCAATATCCGTTAATTTTTTGTGGCTTGTTTTCGTTAAAACCTTTCGGTAAATACCTTTATTATACATTTAAAACGAGAAAATTTCATAAACTATTAATCTCAGTAATAAACGTGGCTAACAGCTTGGTTTTCATTTTAAAAATCTGAAACCGACATACTGCGAGATTACAAACACAGCAGACATGAGGTTATATTTATATATGCAAGGGGGAAATCAGATCAATCAACGTAAGTTTATTGTATAAATTTAATTAATCTCCATGAGCAATGGGGAGAGGGAGGAGATCAGATCAATCAAATTTCATTTCAACTCAAAGATTATTTCAGCAAGGAAAATTTCATCAACTTAAAAATTTTTTAAACAAAATTCTCGAGATTTAATTGAATATTTCAAACAGGAAAACTTTTCTTCGAGCAGAAAATACTTTTTGGAATAATTTCCTGAGTGCTTATTGCTGTGTGGTGAAGACGTTTTTAGAAGGGAGGTAACCCCCCCCCCTCCAAAAAAAAAAAAGACTTTACCTTTGAACGGATTTTAGATTACGGCGCTGTTGTGTTGACCTCTCAAAAGCAGAAGAATGCGTTAATTCCTTACGCATGCGAAGGAATGGATTAATTCTTTACAATATAATAAAATTCTTCGTTATCTTAAGAAATGATATGTTGTGACTTTTTTATATTTCAGTATTTCCTTTCTGTCTTCCCCCCCAGCCCAAAAGGCTATTAACTGTCGCCACCAAATATTACAGCCCTGTATTATATTTAAGAAAGATAGAAATTAAATAAGGAAGAATCTGCATAAATGTATTATGTTTCTTGCATTGTGATAAAACGACGGTACCTAGAGCGATCAAATTTTGAATAACGTACGTTTTCACCCGAAGCCCAAATTTGGAATATGTTTTATTATCGATTTCATGTTTTGTAAAACTTAAATGAATTTTTGATTAACAAACTCAACGATTTCAAAGCGAGCAATAGTAACACTGTACGGGGGGGGGATTATATCCAGCGCGCGAGACTTGTGTATCGAAAATTCTAAAGGTATGCTCATTTTAAAATTATTTTGCGACATTGCTGTTGAATTGAATTTTATAGTTTAAGTGCGAAGAACATGATACTTAATAAATTAAAGTAACACACAAAACGTTAAAAAAAGTCCCTTTGGGCGTAATGTAAAATCTGAAAGCTTTCAAATTTTGTTTCTTGTTTATTCTCATTTATTTATTTCAATAAAACGCTTTATCAGCAGATGTCATCATTTCTTGGCTGTTGATGATGGTTTTAAAACTCTGAATATAATCAGCTTTATACACTTTTAAAACCATTTTTCATATCTCAAGAGGAGAATTAAAAAGAAAAGCAATTAATTACATTAAAAAGCATGATATTAATTCCTCTCCTACGTGCTGCCTTCGTGAACAATTTTTTTAAAGAAAACGATTCGTATTTACAATAGGAATCTTGCAGGCCATTCCGACAAGATCCAAAGCTTAGATGAAACTATCATTTTTCGATATTGGACTACTAGCGGATCTGTATATATGTATAAGAGATAAAGAGAAGGATGTAACTCGATAACGGGTTAGATTACAACACGGGGGATCATTCCCGAAGGGAATATGAGGGGTGACATTCCCGAAGCTCTTTCAAGAGCATTTGTCTTGTACTTCGGTGTTACGCGGAGAAACTTTATGAATAAAATGAATGCACTCTTTTTATTGGTACTTATTTGACGTTTTGGGATTAGTTACTCAGATACGTCCTCATAAATAATCATATGTGTGTGCATTTGTTACTGCTTTGAGTACCAGTATTCTCAGTACGACCTGCCTTTTTCCATAAACATGCGAGAGATGAAATATGAAGACTTTTTTGCTTTCTTCCAGCTTTCCCAGAGAACTTTTAGAAATTGTACGATGGATTTTAAGACCATAATTTCGGAAACATATTGGGCTTACAAATATCCATATCTTAACCGGGCCTAATCAGGTTGGAATCAACCAACCACTGACTATCATAACAGTCGGAAAGCAGCTTAATACATAATCACAAGAATTCTATCCAATCAGTTTCTGTATGAATTGGACTTCGAACAAATTTCTGTACTCAATGAATTTAACCTTTCGTTTACTATTTGGTGACGAAGAAAATGAAGTAAGAAGTGAAGTTTAAAATCTGCATTTATTTGCTGCTTTTAATTGATACCGAAATGAAGCTTATTTGCATGTTTTTTTAATCATCCTTTATATGCTAATTTGATACAGATAAAAGGAGCTGGCTTAACCATATATATATGTAGGAAAACGTGAAGTAATGTACGTATCATACAGTGGATTTGTGACTGCTGAGGCTTGTGCCGTACCTTTTCGGAATTAAGAGAAGCATAACTACCTTTCATTACGATTCGCTAAGATTGTTTTTTTGTTTGAATTCGTCGATCAGTATTTCTAAAATGTTGGACCTGATGTAACTATTATCATTTCAATTTTGTCTACCCAGGAAAAGCTGCTTTCTTTATTTTTAAAACTCAGCGTAACCAAATTAGTCAAATATAGTTTATTTAGAGGATACAAATTTAAAAAGTGTTGTGCAGGCATTAAACTTATGCCCATAAACCTGTTAATCTGCATATTAGCAACGTCGTTGATCTTTAGGATTTAGTGTGGATCGCTTTTTTATCTTTTTTCTTTCGATGTTGAGAAATTTTGAAAGACCAATCAATTCTTACTGTTAGAAGTTCTTGGAAAACGCAATGACAAAATTAAAATCTAAGAAGTAAATAAAAATGACGAAAAGAAGTATTAGATTATCGGAACAAATTATGGAAAATCAATATTTATTTATTTGATGCAATGTATTATTTTAGCGCTTTCCGTCGTAAGGGCGGCCACCAGCGGCCGAGCGGTAAAGACGCTGAACACTGGTAGTTCGGTTCGAGGTTCGAATCTCGCGAACGGGTTGGCTGCATGGGCGTTTCCGTGGTTTTCCCCGTGTGTAGCGTGTATACGAGCCAGTTCCCTTAGAAAGTACTCCACGAAGGCATCCCTCCCTTTAGGCAGATAGTCCTCGTGTGCTTTGCCAAAATTAAATAATCCAATCTAATCCGTCGTAAGTGAATCATTGATCGGTTGGGTTGGTCACTACACATATATCTACTTTCTGCCTTTTCTGATTTTCAATCGCAAAACTATGATGCTAAAATTGTTTAAATTTGGATAGCAAAGTATTTATACTAATTGAGTATATAGTATAATTGAGCTAATTCTATTTAACATATTTGTTAAAATCAAAACCTCTTAGTGTATACAGCTTCCCCATCTTTTCTTATAATACTTCTGAATTTTATTCTTGTGATTATCCATTAATTTTGTTGAATTTGGTGCTTAAATTTGTAAACAGCCCCTTCTGCAAGCATAGGAGAATAAGTACTCAAGAGAGTTCTAGTAGCTGTTCATTTACGGAGTAATTAAATGAGCAGGAAAACAGCTATTTAATTAAGGAAGTTTAAGGCAAGTTATCTTCGACGGTTCGAGTTGCATTGAAGGATCCGTGCTATGCGTATTAAGCGCAAGAGATGCTCGCTAAGTTCACCCCTTGTTTGATAGACACGGTTAGGTGTCATTCTGCAATTAAATTAATTATGCGTTGTTTATTCATCGTCGCCAAGTTTATCACAAGGTTTCATTGCATTTTTTTTTGTTTTTTTTGAATTTTTAGTTTATTTGTTTTAGAATATTTTATTCATTCTTCTTATAGAGAATGGTTTGTAAATGTCTGAAGTATTTTATCTTTTTTAACTGTCAAATGGGTAAGTTTCTTGCTAGGGAAACGAAAGATTTCCCAGTGCAAAAATCGAAAATTTGCAAGGAATAAAGAAATTTTGCGCTCATGTAAACTTCAAAACCAATTTTAAGCACTTCAGTCTGTAGGGTTTATATTTATTTTAACTAACATTTATTTTAAGTTTAAACTATCTTTCCTGTCAAGCCTTACTTTGCCCTGGAATTGCCAATGCCAGAGTATGTAAATTTTAGTAGAACGCGCAAGTATTCAAAATTGTCAGCGGAAGTAATCTGAGTTAAATAGAAGGGAAACGAGTTCGAAGGTGTGCTTTCTTGCTTCACGAGCGTGGAGGTGGCTAGTTAGAAATTGAAGAACCACGCGTTTCGGCCTGTGTGCTTGCCTCGGCAGATTGTTAAATCTTTCAACGTAATATTCAGAAGTTTGCTGAATTGTCAGCGGTATCTTAGAACGCGGTTAGGTTAGTTACGTTT